AACCCAAATTTAGTAGATCCATACAACTGCTATTAGCGAGTTATGTTTGTCACTAAATTTAGTAGGAATACAACCGATAAATCATCCTTAAAATTTTACTATTTTTATTGTTAAAACGATAACTATTTCTACTCATCGTAAACCCCTAAATATATTGTTTGAATCATTTAAAAAATTGGTACAAACATTTACACATATATATCTACGATGAAATTCATTTCCAAATGAATAATGGAATATAGCGTCAATATATACCATTGCAATTCTTTGAAGCTCATTCGGGTGATTTGGATGCGATTCTTCATGTTGGTGACCTTCATCATCATGGTTTTAATTGACTTCTTCTAATTATAGTTTATCCCAGCCATATCCGTTCTTTGGTCTTTGTGGTTGTGTTTCATTATTTTCGCTACCTTTTGTTTCATTGCTTAGGAGTTGTGTTTGCTTTTCATCTTTCCAGATTTCGAATGGGTTTGTATTTATCGGTGTTTCCCTTGTTTTGGTTTTGCCTTCCGGTATTCTTTTGGGCTTTGCTTCCCTTGTTCGGCCGATGAAATATCTTTCCGTGCTAGTATGGCTGGTTGGGTTAATTCTTCTACCGGCTATCGTCTCCAGTCGATCACCAATTTTGTTTATAATATAATCGACTTAGATGACTAAAAATATATACCATTGCTATTAGCATTTAATTTCTGTCAGTAAATTTAGTAGTTATATGTACAATCGATGAGTCATTCTTCAATCGCTACTATTTTTATCGCTAAAACGCAAAAACATCACTAGTCATCGTAAATCCGTCACTAAATATTTTGTTTTATCACTTCAAAAAAATTAAGCTATATACGGAATTTGTTAGTCATAAATATTAGAAAGAAAAAAACTGTAACAATTGTCTTCCGGTTCAAGATTAAAGACACCTATAACTGGACCTATTTTGGACATCAATGGCCCATTAAAGATAGAATGGGTTATATTCGTAATTTTAAGAACAAAAAAATTGTTGGTGTATTTGAACCGTGCAGATAATTATCTTATCTGCAAGAACCATATATTGTTACTAAAATACAAAAGTGTTTTATTAATTTTGCCAAGAAATAAAAATGGAGCATTTGCTACAGAAGCAGCTTTTCAACAATGGAGATAAGCTGTTCAATTGTAAGCTCTTAACACTTATCTTTCCCCCCCAAACTTTTGTTTTCTTACAGTTTAACCCCTTAGATTCACATCGATTAGTGCAAATCAAGAGTACTTAAACCAATCGATTTCAATTTCTCCATTTTGTTTGCTTTCAGCTCGACAAAACAGACGGGTTTGGATAGAGCGATCTCAAGTAACAGATTCTCATCTCACAAGCTCAACAAACCTTTTTTACACCACTCCTATAAGTTGTCCAATGTTGTCCATTATCACTACAAGAAAGAGCAAAAACCATTTGAGAGTAAGCGTTAACTTAATTTTGATACAAACTTCTGTTTATGTTAGTTGACATTTTAAAAAAAAAATCATAGTGACTAACTATATTTGATATTGTAGTTAGGAAGATTGAACATTGAACTCTTGATTTTCAGAATAAACCATTCAACCATTGGACTATAATTTGTTATTTTGTCATTTGTATATATTGTTTTACCAATTTGGTTTGTTTTATGTCAATTACGAATTCAAAAGATAAGGAAACATCTTGATATATATAACTATTCCAATATAATTAAACGGATGTGATTATATTAATTTAGGTCTGTGCAATAAGAAGAAGAAGAGTGCATTCGAACTCGGATACGTACGTACTGTTAGAAGCAGGACAAGATGAGCAGTTCGTGTCGGAAGAAGAACTCAAGGTGAAGCTCAAAGGGTGGCTTGAGAATTGGCCGGAGAAGTCTTTACCTCCGGACCTGGCTAGATTTGATGACCTCGATGAAGCCGTCGATTTCTTGGTCAAAGCTGTATGTGAACTTGAGATTTATGGAGAAGTAGGTTCTGTTCAATGGTATCAAGTTCGTCTAGAGTAATTTAATTAGATAAATGTATTGCGTGTTTACTTTTTTTTTTTTTGTCGTCCAATAATTTTATTGCATTTTCAACTTTAGTACATTGGCCACTTTACAACATAACTTTGAGAGTTTGGTCTTGCTTGCTTTGCCATTTGATCAACTTGATCATTGGCCTCTCTTGAAATATGAAGAAAGGTGAAATTACAAAGCTTTGCTATTTTACAAATATCCTGAAATTGAGCCATGAAAGGGAAATACTGCTCTTGTTTGTTGTTCCTTTCCTTGCCTAAACCTTGCAATAAACCATAGAGTTGTTGCAAATCCCCACATAAAACAATATCACGATAGTCAAGCTTATGCAATTTCACGACTGCCACTCTCAAAGCTTCAATTTCAGCTTGTATGGAGGATTGCGTAGGTGGAGAGGATCCTGAACCACTTAAAATTTGCTGCAATCTACAATTATACAAGCTCCATCCAATGCCTATATTATGATGCGGAGAAAGCCAAGAAGCATCTACCAGACAACAACAATTCTGAATCCGTTCAAATATACTATTCAAGTTACGAGGAATAATCTTAAATGATTACCTGGTTATCTCTGATGGCTAATGATTTCCATAAACATAAGTCAAACAAAAACGCTTTTCACCATCAGTAATGTACATATTAGTTTGATACAAAGTTGGAGATGATACAAGGTTTAGCTGAATATGAACATCCCAAAAAATAGCTAAACCACCTGCTAGCCCATTTGCCGGAAGAACAAAAGAGTGGGCATAGTTAAGATCCTTACATAGCTCATCTACAACACTAAA